ATTCTACAATAGCACTCGATGTATTTTTCTCAATCTTTATTTCCACCGCGAGTTGTTCTTGGTTTCAAGACGACAGCGATCGAAAGCCAACGAGTCGGTCGCGGTTCTAGCTCGTACAGAACTCTGAGAAAGGAAAGCAGCTCTTCTCTTTGTCAGAAGAACCTATTGTCTTCTTGGGGATGGATGGGAACAGCGATCACGGATACTGAATGCGTCTCGAGATTATTTCTTCAAGAACTTGCCTTGAGAAGTTCATCAATAAAGATGTACAGTCGGAATATAAGCTCGATCTTTTAGATTACTATAACATATATTTCTATCAAGTCGGGCAATTATTTCCGTGCCGTGAAATAGATACATATAAACTTGTTTAATTAAATATAAATAACATCCTGATTTCTTCCCTTACATCTAGATATGTTTACATTTTTTGCGTACGTGTCATTTAAAGCTTAATGAGACACAAAATGTTTAAATATATTCTTCTTGTGTATATTTTTAATAAGTAAAATATTTCTTAAAAAGATTATATAATTCTTACTGACACGTAGAAATAACAAATTAAATATTTATTTTAATTTAATTAATTAAAATTAATCTCACTTTAACATCTTATTTTTGCATCTACAATATCTTTCATTCCAATCTTCTTCCTTCTCTCAATTTATCTTGTAAGACAGATTATTCTGAATATGACTAGAAATCATGACGAGTATTTCTTAGCCGGAGGGAAATACGGATTTCGCCACTTTACCAATCATTACGTCCATTAAACTTAATTTTGTTATTTCCTCCTCCTCATATATCTTCGCGAACATGATTGGATCTTTTTTTGTTATTGATAATCAGAGGAAACATTCAATATCGTAATCCAATTATTCAACTGTCAAAATAACAAAAGCAGCTGATTTGATCTTCCATGTTAAAAGATCGGGGACCAAATCCAGAGTGGAAATGCAAAGAAGGACGCGCTTCATGAACGTGAACCGGTTTCAGGCAAAATTCTTGTTAAGACGGTAACTAAAAAGAAGCGAAATACGTATCGATATACGTGTGTCTGTCAACTGACATCGGCGTGGACACTCATGAACATGAAACGGAACACATCGCGTATATGAGCTATCGGAACGCAGAAGGCTTCCGTTGCTCGGGGCAACCTGGAAGGTAGAGGAATTCGATTCGATAGCATAAAAAGCGACGATGGCGGAATGTAATATTATTGCGAATGAAGACATAGGCTGCGTGGGTCGTACCGGCGAAATTCACGCATTTCGCGTAGTCGACGAGCATTTGTTTCATAATTCATGTTTTACGATCATGTGTCTTGCATACGTTTTCATTTTTCGTTACACTCTGTTTCCTTGTTTGAGCGACTTAGTTGCAATGATGTTTTGCATAATTTGCATGCTCGCGATGTTTCTTGCAATAATTACAAGACTGGTATGAAACATCGCATAAAACATTTACATTTTAATACCATCATTGTTAAAAATTTTTCATTAAGCACTTATGAGGAGATTCCTAAATTTTCAATTATTTTGAGAGACAAATGATATTCTCGTTCTAATCTAATTTCATCGAAAGTGTATTTAGAGAAAGTGTGAAACTTTCGATGTATTCTGTATAATAAAAATCTAGCATATGAATATCTTCCACATCTCATAACTGCAGGATAAGAAATGATACTAATCAACTTAGCTTCGAGCAATATACAATACTCGCCGCGTAATTACGTTGGCAGCTAATTAAACGATCTCGCCACAATATCAGCTTTATATCTTTCCGTAATTCTTCTTTGCCTAGTCAGCACCGGGAAACAAGTCATAACGCTGCATAAATATCGTTTGCTGGTCTGAGACGTATGCAGGTAGATGATTATCCAGCGGTGCAAAATACGCGTATATTATACTACTATATATATATTATTCATCCAACAGGGAACGTGAGCTGGATTTAGACAAGTTGTAAAACAAGTTAGTTTTACCCTAGTGGTGACTAGTCATTACGATAGTAATCCTGCTCGGTATGACAGGACTGCAGGTTCGGATATTTGATTCGCATTCGGTCGAGTGGTGCGAAGCTACAATCCGTGGGATTATACCTGAATGCCTCTAAGGCCTATCTAATCAAAGGTAGTAATATATCTAGGAGTCTAAAGATGTCTCAAAACAATGTAACGCTACTAGGTGGCCGGTGGGTTGATCGTCGCACAAGCCCGGTTTGCCGTACGGCGCCTATCATTGGAATCTCATCGAGATTCGGTGTCAATGGCACAGCGTCTAACATAAGTGTTGATCGAATGATGTTTGAGTTTCGTGAATTTGAATGTTAATTATAAATTTTTATATAATATACATAAGCAAATATCTGAGTGATCGTACATGAGTGTACGTATTCGTTTTACAATTTTCTTATTCACACCGATTACTTACTACAAGTGAAGATATGTTTCCTGCCTAAATCATTATGTCTACGCACGGTTCTACGTACGTGTCTCGACATGCGTATACGCGTGTTCGTATAAAAGGTTGGCTCGTTTATTGTCGTATCGATGTGACACGTGTATCAGATCTTATGTCACACAAGGCTTCGTGTGACGGGAATGCGCTGCCGTGCTGTGCGTGTTGGTCACTGCACTTCCGCTCGGAACGCAATGCGTCTTGCTGTGCACAATACGCACTTTGCATACCTGCGCTCACGCGATTCTGCTTGGCGGTGTCTACGACGATAAGAAATTAGAATATCTAGCATAATTTTGCAACCTGTCGTGTCCATCATTCTCAGAGTTTCGCACGCAAATAATAGAATTATAATTTTAAGAATACTGTATTATCAGAAGATGACGAATCATTGAAAAGTATTATGAAAATAGAAATAAGAAGTTTTATTTTTGTCTTATATAATTTGTACAAACTTGTCGTAATAGACGCAATAGGAAGGGAGCATATGGATGGCGGTAGATGCCTCTATGAGATTCGCCAATTAATCAGAGATCGAATCTTGAATACATGAGATTGCGTCATAAGTTGGTCCGATCGATCGATCAACCGGTATTGGCCAATGTAGCCGGTTAGTCGCACAGGTGCCTGGCGAAACGTGGGTGCCGTGACTGTCTCGTGGGTAGTATGAGAGGGCTTGGAGTCTGTATTTTTTACTCACCTTTCGGAAATATAAAATTTTCGTTGAGCGAGGTCACAACACCCACGCTATCGCGCTGCGTGGCGAACAGCTGCGATACGCGACGAGTGAAAACTTAGTTACTTTCCCGCGTAGGACGACAACAAGACGGGATTACAACAAGTAACACGCATGATGTCGTCGTAATAATCAGATAAGATCGAGACTTTTTAATCGATAACTGTGCGAATATTAATTTTTCAATATTTTGACATAATTAGATTATCATCTAATTCCGTTTTGTATTGTAAAATGTGTATTTGTATTGTGATGTAAAATTGTAACTGTTAGAGATTTATTTATGAATTTATAATTTTATATTTTTTAACCAACCAATTAAAATAAGTTAGACCACAAATTATATTTTAATTTAATTATCTTATTATACTTTAATTTAGTTGTCTTATTAATTGAACAAAGATATTACTATACTGCAATTCGATCTCAGAAACTGTAATCTATATGTAGTTCACATTTAATCTATAACTGAATGCGATATAATTAATTCATTCATCTAAAATGTTATAGTTTAAGAGAATAAGAAAATAAAGAATAAGATGTGCAATTAGTTCCATCGCTGACCTATTTCTCAGAATTCATCGATTATGAGATGAGCCGTGCGATTGCACACAAACCTCTGATTATCCTGAATCTTGAATCTCTTGCATTTGCGCTGGAAATTGCTATCTTTATTAGGTCATGCGCGAAAGCTAATTAAATTTAATTAGAATGAAAGCAGGCTTAAAACTGACAACAAAGATTAGTGTCCTTTTCGGATTAAAATATTATATTGCACACAAATTCATAAAATAAATAAATAGAATCAGAAATAGCAAATTAAATTAATTAATTAGATATAATACATCTATTAATTAATTTATTAAAATATTGTAACTTATTCAATGAATTATATATGGAAATAAATAAATAAATCTTTTTTTTAAAAGAAAATATATCAAAATAAGTGTAAAATAGATAGGACATAAAATAAAATTACATCTGCATTATTTTGTGTAAAATATTTACAATTTACAGGAAGACTAATTAATATTATATCTTCGTCAATATGTTTTAATATTATATAGGCTTAAAGAAAGGCCTGTTTAAAACATCGTCCACCATCATACGCATTTTACTTATCACTACAGACATATTAAAAATATACTATTTTTCTCTATATATCTTTTTTTATATTTAACTGAAAATTTTTAAATAAAAACAATTTAATTTATACTTCTTACAAAATAGTAAAATACATTTCACATTACAAAATATTACAAATTGGTCAAATTATATTATTCAAATGTTATTATTTAGACTTGTTAAAATATATTTTATTTGAAATTTTAAAGAGCAATTTTCACAAACTTGTTTAAGAATAAATTAATTAAATTAATTTTAAATATATGTATAAAATACTTTTTATATATAAAACATATCTTTTTCTGTCTACTTAAAAAAATAATTGCAAAATACGCTTATAAATAATATTTATTTATTTTTTTTAAGAATTTTTATATACATGTGTATATTAAAATTAACTGCAAATAATAAAAATATAATAAAAATCTATAATAAAAATATCGTATATTGCATATAAATAAAGAAGAAATTGTAATTATTGTTATTGTCCCAATTAATTTATAAAAAAAAACTAATGTTTTTAAATCAATATTTTTTCTATTAAATATAAATGTAATAAATCCAATCGTTAATCTACAAACGGTCAAACATGGAACATTCTTGAGGATTTATACGCCTAACTTGAATTTGTACCACTGATGGCACCAGTAACTGGTACACCAGTACTGGTAAACCAGTAACGGAACAGTTCTATCGATCATGTATCTTTTTTCTTAACATAAACCCATGAAAAGTTTCCATTAAATTCATCAATAAAATTTTTTATTTTTCACACATTCACGTTAGAGAAGAAGTTTCATGATTGTTGCCCTAGAAACAATTTAGCACACAAAGATTTCCTAAAAATTTACATCGCTGGTCAATTATATTTGCTTGGAATTGAGCTTTCAGCGCCACACTATGATAAGAAACAGCAAAAGCCTTATAATATTGCGACACCTGTCGTAGGTTTCTGTCTTGACAGAAGACGATGTGACCTGTTCTTGCGTTGCTGTGTGCGTATGCGCTATCGCATGAATTTTCGCAGGTGGTGATTTTTCGGTGCTGTAACGAGAGAAACCAAAGTGTACACCGGTCAGTGTTTTCGCACTCAAGGAGCAGCAACACAAATCCGAGGCGCCCTGATCGAGGGGCGTAGCCCGAAATCAAAGAAGAAAAAGGGCTTTGTAGTGGGCCTCGTACGCACGACACATTTTGGGTCGAGTTTCATGCTATCCCGTGAGAAGATTACGAGAGTGTACACGTAAGAAGAGTAGAAGAGAAGAAGAGTAGAAAGAGGAAGAGAGAAGAAATACGAAGAGAAGGAAGGAGTAGGTTGGGGAAGATCATTTTGACAAGCGGATCATCTAGTTACTAAAATACTACATACGATGTTGTGTTACTTTGGATTGAATTCGTTGATAATATTTTAATTTTTAAAATTCGATTGAAGTATACGCGAAAAATTTGAACGATATTCTAACTAATCATTGTGCCAACGAGAATCACTGCCAATGTGCAATTCAGCAGATACTTCTTACATACAAAAATTAGGTTATCTGCATCTTGGAGATGATGCCGCGGACGCTGGTAACGCGACCAGGGTCTCGGGTTCTAGACCCGAGGCCCAGGTACCTGTATCAAGAAATACGATTACCAGAAATGACGCTAGAGCATCTGGTAGATCAGTTGGTGCTATCGAAAGCTTTATTGAAAGCAATACTTCGGATATCTCCAGACAGGCAGCTGTCACTGATTATAAATTATACGAGCGCGAAAATATAATAGCTGCTTCACGATTTGCTACTCCAAAACCAGTAGAGCAAATCAGTGCGCAGCAACAGCAGCAACAACAGAATCAAACTCGTGCAAATCATCAACAAACTCCTGTTTATGAGAATATAGATTATTATCCGCAGCAAAATCAGCCGCATCCTCCTTATTACCATCCAATAGAATCAAGAAAAAGCCCTAAAAGTAGTCCTAGAGGTTCCTTAGTTGGTGATTCATATGAAGGAACTTACAGAAAAGCTCAACCACAAGTGCCAACTGGCAATCGTTATCAAAATGCATCACCAGCAAAAGAATTACCACCTTATGAAGCACCACCAGTATATGAAAATATACAAGAAGTGCATTTTTCTGAGAATATACAGAATAAGCCAGGACCTCAGGTTCCACCGAATTATTATCATCCAGCAAATATCAATGGTGGTGACTATGTTGTTATGACTGGAAAAGTGAGTCAATCTCAAAATCAACGAGGACTAAATCAAAGTTTATCATATACCCAACAAAGAAGTGGAAGTTTACGTGGTCAAAGTTATGATAGTGCAAGTTTACAACGATCAATCGATTCGTCTACTGCTAGGTATTTACAAAACTCAACTTCTGCTTCTTCAGATCATCAAGCTGGAAGAAGCGCTTATGTGCCCCCCTCCGAATTGCAACCACCAAATAGGAGCTTTAATTATAATGCTGAACAGCAACAACAACAACAACAACAACAATCTCCTAGATCCGGTTTACCGTATCACAGTGAATCTCCTCCTATACGTTTACCGCCAGAACCTCATCATTATCGTGGTTCATTGGAAAATACTATGAGTGGACAACAAGGATTTCGTGCTACAAATCAAGTTGATAACAGTCAACCCTCGCAGTTTCGTCAGGACAATCCGCAAAATTACAAGCAATATGTTGAGGTTTCTCCAAGAACTACAAATACAAGTTTCACAGGGGATTCGCAAGCCAGAAATTCTCCAGTATACGGAATTCGTTCAGGAGAGCAGACATGTCGTAATTCTCCATGTTATTCTCCCAATCGGGCGATGCCTCAGAACGACAGAAACTATCATCATCAAGAAAATCGACCAGATTTTCCTGCAAGAAATTCTCCTGTTTATTCTTCAAATCGCTCCACAGAACATTTGAGATTAGGTACACTACAACAAAATGATAGAAATTACATTTCAGATGTATCAGATCTTTCAAGTTCAAGGAATTCATCTCTGTACTCTTCAAATCGAAGTGATTCTGCCAGAGCTATTATTGCTAACAACAATGCAGTAAAAGAGTCTCCAAAAACAAGTCCAACGCATGGTCAGATGCCAGATATTGCTTCGCAAAATATAATTAATTCACCTAGACATGGAATGCCTCCTTCAACTAATAATTCTATTGCAAGTCCGATACGTGGACAGGTACAAGCTCCTGTCAACAGTGCTTCAACTACAACCAGTGAAATTGACGCTCATGCTGGTCCAAGGATTACCAGCCTTCCTCCTGGTGTTACCAGTGGAGTTGCAGGCCCCGTACTCTTAAATGCTGGTGTACCTGTGTTGCAAAGACCTGATTCGGAGGCAGAAGAGAAAAAATCTGTTAGTCCGCCGATCAAGCCTGCACCTGGGAAGGGATTGTTACCCTACAATGTCATTTCTAGACCTTCGGTAAATCTGTCGCCGCTTTCTTGCAAAATGTTTCTAAAATATTTGTGCTTTTGAAAATCTTGTATTTGTATAACAAATCTTATTTCAAAAATATTATGCATGTGTGTATGTTTTTCTCATTCCCTATGCACTTCTATCGCATATTTTATTGCATGTTTTCTTTTTACTAAAAGAGCAATGAAAATGCATAAATAAATTGTTTTATGTATAAATAAATTAATATATAAAAACTATTTAATGAGAATATAGATAATACTAATGTATCTCTAACACATCGAGCGTAATCTTAATCTACTTAATTACATTATCAGTGTAAATAATATAACTTGTTTAGATAAAATTAATTGAATAAAACTTATCGACTTTTACGAATGTTATTCGTTAAAAGAAAATTTCTTAAAATTTATCAGTAAATTTTAAGACATGTCTCTTCTATAATTTAGCGATGATCTCATTAATTCCAACAGCTTCATTACTTATTTTACACAATATCTACCTAAGATAATAAAATTAACTCGTATTTGACAAAAATGCAACTATACATTGCGCTTTTTTTAACACGGTTTGGAAAATTGCTTGTGATTTCATCCCCGAAATATTCTTTCTTCACGCACCCAATGAGTCATAACCGGTAAATTGCTCGTCACTGACAAGCGGTGTATATTCGCCGAATAATGTTTTATTCATGAGGCATCTATATTTCTGCTATTTTAATATTTTCTATCTTTATTTTTTTGTCTTTTCCCACAATTTTGTATTCATTTATCATACTGAAAGTCACATAAAAATAATAATATTTTACAATATTTGTCTGGAGTATTGTATCAGACATTCAAAAAAAGAAAATAGTTGTTTATATGTAAAAATTTTACATTACTTTTTATAAATAATCTGTATATAAATCAAACAATAAATAATAGTCACTGTTACATAATATTAATTTTTATTAGTGGAATTATGTTCTATAGTCTGTTATTATGTTCTCCACGAAAATTATTTTTCTCAGGGACCAACGGAAGCGGAGAGAAAGATAGAAGAGTTGACAAGACAACTTGAAGAGGAAATGGAAAAACAAGAGGAAGAAGGAGAATATTTTGGTAAGAAAAAAATTTGTTTACGCCATGTTTATTCGTTCGTCCCGGAAAACTGAGATTATCATTGCGCTTCTATCTTATTATTTCTTCACTGTTAACAGCAAGCTAAACGCAAGCTATTTGGTCTGAACTATTTCTTTCAATGTCTTTGGTATTATCTATGCTTTCATTTTGTTTTTACATTCTTCTATGTTTTATAATAAGAGACAAGGAGGATTATGAAAAGACGATCGCAGATTCACACGGTACAATTACGCACGGTAGCCGAGTAAATTCATAATTTTTAGATGTTTCTCTGAAATACGCGATACCAAGGCTGTGCCAATTCCCACGGCATGAGTTTGCAGTAGACCGGTTTCGGAAAACGGAATCGAGTTTCGGTGCGTCGCGAATACTTTTTAGCACGACATTTCGTTGACATTCACTCTCTCGTATGCCACGTTGGTTTCCATCTCTCTGGGTTTTTCTCTTGAGTAGGGGCTGAGGGCGACAATATCCATGCATAGATGTATGTATATCTTATTTATATTTTACAAATATAAGGGATATTTTAGAGGATTAAAAGCTAATATTAACGTCAAACTTGATATTGCATGGATGCAACTAATTTCTTCCTTTTTTTACCTTCCTGTAACTATTTTATAGCTGTCTTTGAATATACCATTATGATAATAATAATAATAAAATAATATCACTATGATAATAATAAAATAATATCACTTGATTATACATTTTCCACCGCCACAAAGTTATTTTCTGAAAAATTTTTTATTTTAGCAGAACAAATATCATTTTTATCAATGAAGTAATTCTTTGATTTTTTAATGAATTACAAATAAATAATCAAGGATTTAAAAAAAGAAATTAAATTATTATAAATATTAAAATTTTTAATTAAAAAGAAATTAAATGATACATTTTAAAGGTGTATAATTTTTATATTAATAAATTTTCAAATAAATCTATTAATAAGATAAAATCTTGGCTGTAATCAAATAAAATTATTGATATACAGAATTTATTTTATAAAACAATAAAAATACCTATAGACCTAAAGACATCAAATAAGCAATGCAAAGAAGAACAAAAAAGATATAATAATAATTTAAAAAATAAATACTCGTGCATTAAGAAATGAGCATGAGCTTAACAGGAATCTCGGTCGAGCAACGAAGCAACGTCAATCGAGAAATAGCAAGTGTTTAAGCGAACGTCGTCCTAGTCACTTTCATATTTAAATGACCAATAGTCTTTATGTCACGTCCCATACGCATAGTTGCATCGCTAATCTCATTATAGATAAGACCAGTCCAACTCGTAGTTGATCGAATTCTAGTTCGATCAGAACTGGTGTAGCGAAACTAAGTTAATATATTAAAATGACCAATATTAAAATGACCAGCGTGGATGAATATGAGTTTCAAAAAATTTTTCAAAGGGATGGCAGAATTGCCATTGAAAGCTTTGCTAAGTTTGTTTATTTCATTTGTAGCAAAAAATCATCTGTAGCATTCATCTGTAGCAAATCGGATGATTTTTAAATGTGATGAATATGCGATATTGATGAATGTGTGATATCGTCACGTTTGTCGATAAGTATATTTTTAACTTTTCGGTGATAAATCTTCTGTGTATTTGAATTCTATTCGATTATATTCCGTGACGATTAATTTTTAAATTTTTGTTATTGCAATTTTGACAAATTATCGAATTAACAATTTTAATTTACAAATATATAAATATTTTAAAGAAATTCGTTATACGTTATTTCACGAAGAATTTTTGAAGTAATTATAATATATATATATATATATATATATATATATATATATATATATAATGTTGCAACAAAAGTTGCAACAAAAGAATTGATTTTTGTATTATTTTGCGATAAGCAATATAAGAATTCACACTAATATTTCTTGATAGGTATTTGCCATACATGTGGTGAGAAAGTAACCGGCGCCGGACAGGCTTGTCAGGCAATGGGCAATCTCTATCATACCAATTGCTTTATCTGCTGTTCCTGCGGAAGGGCTCTCCGTGGCAAAGCTTTTTACAATGTGCACGGAAGAGTCTATTGTGAAGAGGATTATTTGGTATATACCTTTTAAATATCGATAATTGAAATAAGCTAATTATTTACGCAACTCATAGAAATCATTGTGTTTACAGTATTCTGGTTTTCAACAAACAGCCGAAAAATGTGCTATTTGCGGCCATCTTATCATGGAAATGGTAAGTGATGAAAATAAATCATTATACGTAAGATCATTATTATAATTTAATATAACATTATTTTCTATTTTCTATAGATACTGCAAGCAATGGGCAAATCCTATCACCCGGGCTGCTTCAGATGTTGTGTGTGCAACGAATGCCTCGATGGCGTTCCCTTCACGGTCGATGTCGACAATAAGATCTATTGTGTAAACGATTACCACAGAATGTTCGCGCCTAAGTGTGCGTCTTGTGGAAAGGGAATCACGCCGGTTGAAGTATGTGCATTGGAAATTAATTTGCTTCTCGTCCTCGAAACATAGCATTCTTGACAAGAATTTTTTACGAGATATGCTTTACTTCTATTTTAGGGAACTGAAGAAACGGTCAGAGTAGTCTCGATGGATAAAGATTTTCATGTAGATTGCTACGTTTGTGAGGATTGTGGAATGCAATTAACCGACGAGCCAGATAAAAGATGCTACCCACTTGATGGTAGACTTATGTGCCGTGCTTGTCACATCCAACGTATATCGCATACGCAACCAAGGGCACCACAACCAGTATCAGCTAGCTATCAGTTTATGGGTTAAGCTTACTAATCACTAACGTTTAAGTTTTTATCGAAACTTTTCGAACTACGCACGTAATGATCATCCGATAATGAAAATTCAATAAAAAATGGAAGAATCGGTTAACATTCCCGAATTTTATAAAACAAGGACATATACATAGGACATATACATATATAACATACATTGGATCTTAGTCTATAAAATAGATTTTATAGACGAAAGAAGAATGATATCGATTGATCTTTTAATTTAAATAAGATAAATATTTGACTTTAGTAACAGTGCACCAAAAAAAAGCTAAGATGCTTGAGCAAATTGATGCGAATTCGGTATAATCTATCGTTTCAGTTACGAATTTTTTCCAATATTTTAATCCCTTTTTTGAATCGGAAATTTTATCAATTTTTTGAATTTTATCATTATTTTGTTGGGGAAGATATTTTTTTAATCTAATCTGACTTGAAATACCTAAAGTACAAGTCAGATTAGATTTAAAAAAATATCTTTCACTATATATTTTAAATACAACATTCCTTATAGATTAATAAAAACTGATTGATTTTTTAAATATAGCAATCTATTTTATATTTCTGGTGGAAGAAAAATAATACCACCATACCCGTGTATACAAAATGATGATACTACATGTTTCTAGCGATAAAGATTTTTTCTAAAGATTTTTCCTAAAATGTGTATTGCATATCATTCGTTAACTTTTTATTGAAACTGATCTTAAAAATAATTCATTATCAATTCTGCATCATTTGTCTCTATTTTAGTCTATTTATATCTATTTTAATAAATTTTTTTACTGGTTGGTTTCTCCATCATTTTTAATAAGAATAATCAGTCAACTATTGCAATTTAATAGAATGTCAATATCAATGATATATTTGTATGATATACAAGAATATGTAAATAAGAATACCGCAACCAAGAATATGCTGATTATAAACTAACATGTTACATGAAAAAATAACATTTGCGATAGATATAATTAAATACATATAATAAAGAATCGATAAAAAATTCGTTTCAATTCCGCTGAGAAAAAATTGAATATCGATTCAATCACAAATCACATTTTTTTGAAAGATTCTTATTGTAATAGTTCTAAATTAATGTATTGTGATATTTGTTAATTGTTAAAATTACTAATATCTTCTATGATATGCAGATTATCGAGTCAAATTCTGATAAAAATTTTATATATATTTAATTTTATATAATTAACTTTATGTATAAAATATATGTCGAAAATAAAAAATTTTCGATATATTATTATATATAGAAAATGTACAAAATATATAAAAATATATAATTATATATGATTATTTATTTTTATATATTATTTATATATTATTTTTATATATTATTTTTATATATTTTATATATATTCTACATATAATTATATCAAAAAATTTTTTATCGAGATAGTGACTGTTAATCAACACAATAATTGTATGGCAAACACAATAATCAATTATCTATCGCATATTAGATATCTCATATTACATAGAGATATTACATATCTCGTTGCAAAAATAATACGATTTTAATTATTTGGATTTTTAAACGAAATGAATTTGACTAATTTTTAAGACTGATATTAGAAAATTAAAATTGTTACATTATCTTCTGAAATCAATTTAAATATCAATAAGTGTAGCGAATGATCATGTGAATACAAAGATACTTCTTTTAATCGAAGTTTATCAAAATAAGTATACAATTAATATATGCGATCCTTATTTATTTAACAAAGATATTCTGCGAATGCAGTGATTTCATTAGAGCGAATAAGTTGCGCAGGCAACTGTGATATAGTAGCATAATAATTATGCGTTTTTAAGTAAAAGCTTTATATCTTTTAATGTATATATATTTTTATGATATACGTTTATTATATTGACGAAAATTTGAATCTCAGAAATATTTCATTATTTCTGAAATTTCTTCGACTCAATTAAGTTTTATCATATTTCATGTAGCATTCATTATAATATTATTTATTAAGATAGATATTATCATTCACTGCGAAGATATTCGCATATTGAAGTTTGTCAGTATATTTCGAAGGTTATAATGACGCCATGAATGTTTTAACGCAAAGGTGTAACGCAAAGAATAGAGACTGGAAACATATATAGGCGTGCTATAATGATAAATATATGACAATATTATAGCATTGAAAGACGCACAACTCGAGCTGCCAAATAATGTTATTCTTCAGGATTAATAAGCGTAATTATTTCTACGTTATATATAAGTATTTTAAATTCACGTGCATATTGTAGATAAAAGTATAATCCTATTTAAATCACATATACGGTATATATAAATGATTATATCCTTCAATAAAGACAAACTGCAGTAAATGCATTTCTTATCTTCTTTTGACATCCTTAAATTGAAAAAAGATTATTCTTTAAGGTTCTCTCGCGGCGCGACATAGATTATGTGACGTCAGAGGCAAGAAATGTAAATAGTTTCCTTTTAAGAAAAATTATATTAGTTTTTCTTAAGATTTGTAGAAAATATCAGAAAATAAGATAAAGTCCAATAGATCACGTAAAAGTGTAAAATAATTCTTGAAATAATGGTCACTGATCAGCTATCAGAGATAACCAGATCTAATGATCTGATGATTTCTGATAATTGAACTATTCTTATTTCAAGAATTATTTTACATTTTTACGTAATCTATTGGGCAAACATCTTTTTTATAAGTTTTAAGGAAAAAATACAAAATAAAGTTATACGGCGCAAGAAACTTTTTGCATGTCACTTCTCGCTTCTGACATCGTAATTCAATAACTGCGACGAGAAAATCCAGCCTTAATTTAATATTTTAATTAAATATTTTAATTGTATATGAAGCAGGATAGTATATACTTAAAGCAAATACCTTGGAAAAGAATAAATAAATAAAATATTTAATGCAAGAAATGATTTATTATAACTTAATATGTATATATTTACAAAGAAAAATATATATTAATGTTACGGTAAGATACATTCTCGATCTATGTCGAATCTAATTCATAGATCCAACATAGTGCGGAAGAAATATTTATGTTTTAGGTGGTTTCGTATGTCGATCCGTTTTACACTCTGCTTTGAAGTTTTTCTTGTGTTCAGCTGCACATTTATTTGACTGTATTGGCTACAACACGATTACAGATAACACGATTACAAAGAATATATATACTGCTATGATCAAAGAACGAGAGCTACAATATATTATTCACGCGACAAAAACATCTCGCCAAGAATGAAAACAAGGGATATTAGCATGATATATTTGATATTAATCGTGATCGGTAACCTCCTTATAGTTTTGCCCGCAGGCTGCACCATGTGTGCATGTAAAAAGAAAATAGACAAGATAGATGTTTCAAATACAAACATAGATACACTTATATGTTAAATAGTTTATTTCTTCAATTTCAGCAGATGACATTGCACTTCAGGTATATTACTTACCTCTGTTATTTGACGCTTGAACGATAATGCCTTCACATAGCCTAATTTGCTCAAGTATCTAATGGCCATAGTTGTTCCTCCTGTTGTATTTCAATATTAATTAATTTAATAAAATATAACATAAATTATATTTACATCAAATATTACAATTACAAACCAACAGTAACAGTATATCTGAGTGGAGTGAATATCTTATAAAGTGCATAAGTGATGGCCCAGTTCCCAGCACTTGAGTTACGTACTAAATCTATATATCTTTCACTGAGATTAATATATTCTAGCAGCTGTACTATATCTACACCACTGAAAGTACATGATTTTAATTAATTATCAAATTCAATTCAACATGAACATATTAACTGTATTTGTACATACTTCCTAACAGCAGTATAGAATATAGCAACCCATCCTATAGAAGTAATTACATGTACGGGTATTAATATATGCCAATAATCCTTAGTCATTTGTTTCATTTTCTGAAATACTGATACTTTTTCTGTTCTGTTTGAGGTTTTTCACAATCACTATCAGAACTTTGCTTAATGTCTGAATAATATGCTAGAGTAACATCATTTTTAACATTCTGTCTCAATAACTTTTGATACACAAATATATTATTTACAAGGCCTAAGGAATTATATGACGCGGCTGTACAACGATGATATCTTTCTGCAAATAAAATAAATCTGCTAATGCATATTACATTCATCTGATGTTCATCTCATGTTTATGTTTGAGCTTACCGGGAAATGCCGATTTCCAACGTGTTGTGTTGAAATGACACGTGCAACATGCCGACAGTGAAAGATATCTTGTTAATAATACTGAGGCATTGCTTAACTCAGAGCCAAGTCTCAATCCACGAGTGAAGATTACTTCCATTTTCAAAAAACGCCGCTTCTTTTCCTAACCAAGAATTATAATATCTTAATATACTGCGAATTGCCAAGTATATGGCATTAATTAAAAAATTTATATAATGATAACTTAAAAATTTTTCAAATGTTGTTATTCTAATTTACGGTTTCGATTGCAATGTCAAATGATTCATCACAAAACTTACATACATCGACAGACCACACCACGTTCCGTATCGATCGCAGGAGTCGTAACTAGAAAGCAGAATATATAGCAATATTTCATTAGAGTAGTGACATCTTCAGAAATATCTGAATAAAAATCATATACTACTAGTAGTCATATAGTCAATCTACTGTTGGTACGATTCTGCAGAAACAACCAAATTCGAATGAAAATTTAAATGTAATAACGCAAAATATTATTAATTACAATTTAATTACAAAATATTATTAATTATAATTTTTAAAAATTTTTATCAAAATTAAGACAAGAAAATAGAAGAAAAGAAGAAAAAAAAGACACAAGAAAAAAAAAGCATGACAAGGTTTACAAAGAAAGGAAAAAGGAAAGGAAGCTAAAAAAGATTGGTAAAGATTAGTACAATTAAAAAGAAGGCTAAGAACCGTCATATCTTTTTATGAATACATTATTTTATATAATACATATATGATAATTTAAAATAATGATTCTATAATATCTATGAAAATTTGTATATATAAATACTTTTTAAATTGTTGAAGATAAAACATAGTT